TTTAATGATTCGAAGAGGTGATCTCAAATATGTTAATTAATTAGTGCAGACGATATTTTAAGTTAAGAAATCAGACACAAAAACGTTCCCAGAATAAACTTACCTTCTTTTACGACAGATTCATATTTCTGACTCCCAAAATATAGAGAGTAGCCTGGTAAATATTGTCCCGATAGTTTGACTAGGATGGACCTCTTAATGTTAATTTTGCTTTTTGGTTACTTCATCCTATGACAAAAAATTTTTAAGCGAACTGAAAGAATTTTGCATACAATTATAAAATTTGCTTATCCAAAGATAATTCTATACAAAAGATAACTTTTTCTAAATTTTTATTAGTTTTTATTATGTCATTTAATAATAGTAGAAAATTTTAAATTATAATGTACATAATTTTGAAGACTGTGATTTTTCATGGCAAAATACAAAATTTGAGAGAAATCGATTGAATAGTTTGTGAGAAATCGAATTTTAAAAATGTCGTAATTTGAGATATGGCGACATATGCGGACATATGCAAACTATGCGGACCATATTTCCGAGATTACGGTTTCCATCTATATTTCAAGTGGTCAGAAATTTGATTCCATCGAAAAAAAGGTGTGTTTATTCAGAAAAAGTACGTTTCTGTATCTAATGACGCAACTTAAAATATCGTCTGCACAAATTAATAATAATTAATAATAATAATTAATTAATAATAATTAGATCAAATATTAATCAGGGTTTTTCCTTTTCTTTCTTTTTCTTTCTTTCGCTCTGTATATATTTTGTTCCTGTGAAAAGTCATCTATGGAACGAATCTAAAATATTTCAAATTCTACAATATCGTGAGCAATTTTTGCTTGTCTTATAATTAAACTTGTCACTTTTCTAAAAATGATGACTCCCAGAATAAATAATAATCATGTTTTACTTACAATAGTTTAAAAAAGTTCAAATAAATAATATCAGCGCTATCATTAGGTTCTGGAAAAACCACCCGAAAGGAGAGAGAAAAAAATCTCATAATTTTTCGATACGTTTTTCCAAGTAAATGAAATGCTTTCACGCATATCATAATAAATTTAAAGTGGAATTACATTATTATAACAATAAGAAAATTTGATTGTCAGATAATTCACCAAAGTCAGTGTATTTTTTAAACTACTTTTCAATCCCTCACTATTCAGTCAGTAGATTATTAAGATTATTTATCACAAAGATGAGAAATCGTACAAAAAAAATGGTGAGAATTTAAAGAAAATTACAGTTTAGCAACGAAAAATTATTCTGAGATTATGAACTAAAACAAAATTAAACTGTGGAAAATGTGAGTTTGATGAATGAGTTTTATTTTGTTTTGCTACGGATTCGCATGAAGCTGATGACATCCAATTTGTGGATTACTTCTTGCATTCTAATGCGAACTGATTTTGGATAAATGAACTCGAAACAAAACAGAAAGAAAAAAAAACATCGACTATTGTCTGTAGTACATCCGTCACTATTCGTGAAAAAGTTTGACTGTTGCTATTGATTGGTGTAGATGATGATATGTAACACACTTCCCCCACATCAAAAAAAAAAAAAATTTACTTTTTATATTTCCGTTTTCTTATATGTATGTCAGTATTTTTTTAAATTTATAATGACCAAAAGCAAGTGAATATATGAAATTTCCAGAAAAATAAAATACTGATTATGCTAATATTATCTTAAGTGGCTCAGGGGTATAATACTCGTCTCCCAATTAATTGATCCAGGTTCGATTCCCGAGTCGGCTGATGGTGGATTCGAACTTTGCTCCCCTCTCGCACCGACCACAGTGCCGACATATTATTCTCAGAGTTAGACAGATTATGGGTTAGAATAACCTTGCCGTCGGGCTAACCGTAGAAGTTTTCAGAGGTTTGCAATGTGAGTTCCATCAAAAAATCATCCACAAAGGCCAGTTTGTCCCAAGGCTTGATCGAGAGCAGCGATGGCTCAGGGGATAGAGCGTTCACCTTCCAATGAGGTGAACCGGAGTTCGATCCCGGCGAGGGTTGGTCGATACGAATTCCGCATTAGCGGTCACAGCGCTGACGTGAAATATCTTGTAGACTAATCATGGGTTGGAGTCCCCTTGCCGTCAGGCTAACCGTGGGAGGTTCTCGTGGTCTTCCTCTCCGTGTAACGCAAATGCGGGTTAGTTCCATCAAAAAGGCCTCCACAAAGGCATATTTATCCCAATACTTAATCCAGGAGTTCCCTTGTCTTCTGGATTGGGTTCAATATTACAAGGCTACAGAGTTGAACATTAGTAGCCTTAAACCCAAAAATTGGGTCAACTGTTCAACGATGGTTATAAAATAAAATAAAATAAAATAAAATAAAATGCTTGATCCAGGAGTTCCCTTGTCTTCTGGATTATGTTCAAAATTAAAAAGGCTACGCTTTAGCTTCCCGACGACAGCAAAAAATTTAAGTTCTAAATAAAATATTCTTTTTTTTTAACTCTTTAGTTTAAAAAAAATGGCACATGTATTATTTCAGTTCAAAATATATCTACTTGCTTAGATGATTAATATATTTTGTCTCACTCAAATAAAATAAAACGATGAAACAATTGAGTTACCAGTTTTTGAAAAAAGTTTCTAAAAGAGACAAGAGTTATGGCAGTTAATGGGTTAAAAATTGCATTGGATGAGCTCTAATGCGTATGCAGTTGCTTATATATTTCTAATTGTTCAAAGTATCATTTTTAACTGAGCAATTCATTTTAAACTAGACAAAAAGGAAGAAATATTATTTGTTAGCTTTTTACAAATGCTGTAAGAAAATTATAGTCACGTATCAGCCTAAGGCGTTGCTTGGAGCTCAACATGTGTTTTTCTTTCTTAATTACTTAAATAAAGATACAAAGCGAAATCCCAGTGAAGTGAATCTGTTTTTATCGTTTGCTTAAAAAGAATGAAGTTGAATTTATAATGATATCATCACCAGATGCTATTTTTTGTTTTCTTGATGACTCATGGACAGCAATTGCCTTTTAGAAATTTTTTTCTATTTATTTTTAAAACAAGATATGAAAATAATTTATGACCCACATAAAAACTGGTAGTTTGCGAATTAGCAGTTTTAAAAATTAGTCACGGTAACTTCCGATTTCCCAGAAAACCCAGCATTAAGAAGAGTTGAAGAAAATAAAGGGATTATCGTTTGCAAGCATCTGTTCTTAACTTAAGCAACTATTGTTTTATTACTCCTTATTTAATCGGTGGAAAGTTTTATTGTTCATCGTCTATTCATTAAAAAAGAACTTGTTTTCAGTATAACAGTTCTAAAAAACAAACGAATAAGAAACAAAACAAAAAAAGTTTGCAGCGTAAATTTTTCAATTCATATATTGAGTTTACTAAATTAATAACAACTTTTAATCTTTCCTGATTACACTAATTAAATTTATTTTAAGAATTTGATTTCCGTTTGTTCAAAAATCGCCGTAAGACTGCAGAAAAAGTTTTAATGTTTTTTCAAATACTTTTACTTATAAGAAATGTTTATCAAATGACAAATTTCATTAATGTTAAGAAAAATCGGGAGAATTCCGGTTGATTAAATCAACTTCCATATTTTTCGCTGTCCAAATAACATTTTGATCTGTCTTATGATGTGTATTAAAAAACATACTATTTTAAAGTGAGACAAATGAGACAAATTTGTATTATTATATATATTTATTTTCTGCATAAAAAATTTACTGTCATATCTTTCTAGATAATGATAAATTATTGCACAGCAATATTTCGAAAAATATAAAAAATTTGGTAGCAAAATTTGAAAAGAAAAAAAAATTATAAAAGAGTATTTTTTTTTCAGATTATTTATTTTATTTTGTTTTTTCATTTCATTTTTTAGGGCATCTCTTATATTAGAAGCTGTTACTATGTGTAAATTCTCATACTTTAACACTATGAAAAATCAACTTAAACAGCTGAAGTCGAAGTCACTCTTAGCCAATCCCTTATGCAGGGTAGCCCAGGATTTTATTTTTTATTACTTTTTTTTATAACCTTCATTGAACAGCCGACTCAATTTTTTGGGTTTAAGACTACCAATGTTAAACTCGGTAGCCTTGTAATTTTGAACCTAATCCAGAACACAAGGGAACTCCTGGCTCAAGTATTGGGAGATATTTGCCTTCATGGAGGAATGTAACTAACCCGCATTTGCGTCACATGAAAAGGAAAACCGTGAATACCTCTCATAGTTAGCCCGACGGCAAGGGGACTCTAACCCATGATCCATCTACTACTGAGGATATATTTAGATTACGTCAGCACTGTGGTCGTTGCAAGCCGGAAGCGGAATTCGTATCGACCAGCTATTGCTGGGATTCCAACCCGGTTCATCTCGGTGGCTTAGGATTATTGGGATGAACTTTAAGGGGAAATAGGGGACATCACAAGGATTCAGATTTGCATAGCAACCCATGGTCGGAAACATCTTTGTTCGTCCCTAAGGGCTGTTGTTCACAAGATGGATTGGGCGTAGTAGACCTGTTCCCTGGCCACCACGCTCTCCTTATTTGAGCAGCATGGATTTCTTTCTTTGGGGCACTGAAAAGTGCAGGATATGCAGGAGGAAAATGATCAAAAGTTTTGGTCCTTTAATGTTAATTTAATTTCTTTTCTCCCGGAATTGTTTGGATTCAAAAATCTTAATCCTAAAACGCAAAAATGTTTTTTACTTATTTTTATTTTTTTAAAGCAGAAGTACGTTTTTATACCTGATTTTGTGTCATAAAATATCGTTGGTCTAAATTAAGAAGTATATTTTTTTTAAAAAAAATACTTTCGTAACATAAAGATTGAACCTCGGTGTTTAAAAATCTCACCAAAGGAAAAATTATTGAAGTGTTCCTTTTTTAAATGTTAAAAGACAAGATTTTTTTTTTTACAAATAAATTTAAAAATGGCAATAAAATACTTATTAAACTAGATATTACTTACTTATTTTCCTAATTTCCTTTGCAGATTGTTCTAAACTCAATGCACAAATACCAACCCCGGATTCATTTAGTGAAGCTGAAGCCAAGTTGCCAGGGTGTTCCTACAATCACGAACTTAGAAAACGAACAGTTTAGGTCATATGTATTTCCAGAAACTGTTTTTACAGCGGTTACTGCTTATCAAAACCAACTAGTAAGTATCACTTAATATCTTTTCATTTTCTATAAGACCATTGTATGCCAAGTATGGCATAAATCGTTTAAACAGTTTATGCATCAACAACGATCAAACAAACTTCCCTAGCAATAATTTCCGCAACAATAAGTTTAATAAAATAATTTCCGCAGCAGAAAACTGTGGCTAAGAGGGTCGTGGAGGTAAAGGGTCCACAATTTTGGGACAGATAGCGTGATTCAAAAAATGTGGTTAGCATTAAGCACAAGCCGCCTTCATTTTCCAGATAAGCTGGTATACATCAATCGGATGCTGAGTGGGCTTCAAGCCACCCCCTAGGTACGAACCCCCAGTCCTTCACAGTGGCACAGTGCTTTTAACCATGAGTTAATACGTCTCGTGTTCTCTACCCCTTTAATTTCTGAACTTCGAAGTCATAAATCAGCGACTCGGTAAGTTGCGCTGCGAAACTGGGTACGGGGGTCATAACCTCCTCCTGTTGAGACCGGAAATTTTAACACGCTATTAAATGTGTTTTTTTTTCCCTTCATGTTTATGCTAAACAAGACATTAAAAATATTTTTTATACTGTGACCAATAAATAAATAAATCGTCATCCAATCTTCAATGTTACTTTAAATGCTTGACGAGCGTTAACTAACAGGGAACTTCGCTCTCTCTCCCAAGCTAGTAATAAAATCTATAAACATTCAAATTTTAAAAATTAATTAATTCTGTTTCGATTTACATTTCTTTAAATGGGAAATTAAGGTTCCAATAACGATAAATACTGTAATACTTACTGAATTGCTTACAGTGCTTAATACCGTGAGGTTCATTGAAATTTGAGATATTATTCAGTTAATTCTTAGAATAGTTCTAGCAATCAATCTAATCAGTCGAAAAACTAAAATTAAAATTTACTAAACTCTCATTCTGCCTTTCTTTATCTAAGCAAGTGAAATTTGAACTCTTAATGCAGACACTCTACGCACTCAAAATATTTTTAAAAGAAAAATCCCTAAAGCTATTTTTGGCCCAGTACAAGAACGTGGCTGTTGGCGAACTTTGAGTTACATAGGATCTGTAGGTGGCCATAGATAACACAGGCCATCCGGAGCAATAGGTTAAGATGACTTGGTGACGGGAGAAGGTCAAAAAGACATAAAATTGCCACTTTTAAAAATCCTATAGGATCTCGGGCCAGAGGAAGACATAAAACTAGATGATTAGACAATACTGTCCAAGACTAAGGGTCTTGAAAGTTAAATATTGGCGATAAGTTGCCAGGATACGTTGAAAATTGCTTGTAATTGAAGCAAGCTGGTAAGGCCTGTAAAGAGCTGCTATTCTCATAAAGAAGAAGATGAAGAAGGAAAATAGTCTAGGTAAAATAGATTTTATTGTGTGGCCCTTGTAATGCAGCAATGTAGCCCACAAAATAGTATGACAAAAATAAATGTTTGTTGAGAAAAAATTAAGGCAAATTCTAATTCAAACAATTTGATTGACCCAATCACTAATACATCTACATCGGATATATTTATTAAAGTTTAAATGTATGGTATATAGTCGTTATAAATAACCCCCAAGAAACAGAAGAGGTAAAATGCTACTTGATTAAAAAAAAACTTAATTGGCTTCAAAGAAAGAAAAAAAAAAAGCAGAATTAAAAGTCGACATGCTTCGGGAGCTCAAAAATAGGCTTTCATTCTCAAGATTTGCCAGTCATGAATGCGAAGAAATAAAAGTGATTTGAAATAGTTTTATATTTTGGTTTCTCACTTTTATTTTCCTTCTTTTCTTTCTTTTTTTTGTTGTTGGTAACTTTACGTTTTATTTTTCAAATCACTTTTCTTTCTTTTCATTCCCATTTGGTAAGCCTTGAGGATGAGCGCTTATTTTTGAGCGCTTGAAACATGTCGACTTCCATTTCCAACTCCATATTTCGGAAACTAATGAAGTTTTTTTTTTAATCAAGTAATCTAGTTTCATTTTCTGTATTAAATATATTTACGTCTATTTTATTTTGTGACCCACGTAATGACATGCCAAAGTTATCCACACAAAAATGCTTAGTACCGCTGATCTAGGTAAATTTAAACCATTTGACAGATTCAATCACTAATACTTTATGATTAAAACATTCCTCAGTAACTCATAAATCTGAATGGAGTTGTAAATATCCGACGACGGTTTTCTGTCTCCTCTTTAGACATTCGGCGATAAGGTAAAGTTCTCCAATTTCCCCTCTAAAATCATCGACCTTTGAACAAATAGAATATGTTGACAAGTCTTTTCCCCACAAGACAATAAACAGCTCCGAGAGTGTTTAAGTCAGAAGACCCTCCTTGTTATTGCTTGTCAAAAGCAGTTAAGTTGTTGACGCCACTGAACGCCCGTGTTGACTCTCCGTCAGTCACTGATAGGACGAAAATGACAATTCTGTCAACACAGTTAGCGTTCGTTAAATGTTGACTTTGCTTGATGTCTCTATTCTCACGACTGTGAAATGCAGTCGAAGAAATAAACTCAAGAAATGGTGGGAAAATCGCGTAAGTGGTGAAAAATTACACAAACTACATATTATTTAGTCACGGATAAAGTTCTAAATCTTCTCTTTAATCTCTTTGCGTAACTATTAATAATTAACAGTAACTATTTCATGTATTAATTAGCCATAGTTTTTATTACTCTAAAGTTGAATTATCAAATTTATTATAATTATGTTCCAAACAAGTACAAATGTGGTCTAAACAATAAATTCAAACTGAAACTTCGTTACATACTATTCATTGCTAATTTTATTCGGATTTTTTTTTTTCTTTTCCTGACATTAAAGCAATCAAATTGAATGGGCAGGAGAAGAATGAGAGTTCTAAGATAGAATATTGAACGAAGAGCACAAAAGATTTTAATGCCATTCCAGACGACTGGAGAACAAAAGGAAGATCTAAAAAAATGAAAGAAACGAAAAAAATCCAGTACTGCTGGACTTAGTAAGACTACTCTGCAAACAAAGCCTGAACGCTCAAGGAAAAAAAACTGGCGAGAAATTTTGGAAATAATGCTGGTTTAAGGGAAAAGTTTTGATAAAGCCCGGGGTCTCTAAGGGCTATCGTTCCAGAGCTGCTGATGATTTGTTCCTCAGTGTCTAAATTTGAATCCTAGTTTGGAGCTAAAGAAAATAATTATATTGCATACAAGGAAAAGCACGTAAAAAAATGAAGAAAAAGTCACTGTTTGTCTTCCGGATACAAACTAACTAATATTTTATTTTATTTTATAACCGCTGCAGACCTAATTTTGAGTTTACGACTACCAATGTTCAACTCCGTAGCCTTGCAATTTTGAACCCAATCCAGAAGACAAGGGAGCTTCTGGATCATTCTTGGGAGAAATTTACCTTTGTGGAGATTTTTTTGAGGGAACTAACCCGCTTTTGCGATACACGGGGAGGAAGATCACGAGAACCTACCACGGTTAGCCTAACGGCAAGGGGACAGCCATCACTGGGATTCGAACGGGGTTTTTCTCCTTCTATCCCCTGAGCCAATAGGTGTTATTAATCATAATAACATATTATTTTGCTTTGGATTTTTTTTTCTTTTATTTTTTTTTCTTCGTCCAAATTTAAATTTTAGTATGACGCCAAGTGAAATTTTCACAGTGCTTTCAAACTTAAACACGCGTGAAGTATAAGAAAAGAATAGAACAAGAAGAAAAGAAAAGAATAGAATGGAATAGAATGGAATAAAAGAATAAGAAGAAAAGAAAATAATAGAATAGATCAAAAGAATAGAATAAAAGAATAGAATAGGAAAATAGAATAAGAAGAAAAGAAAATAATAGAATAGAATAAAAGAATAGAATAAGAAGAAAAAATATTTTAAGAAAAAAGCGGAAAAGAAGAAAAAAATTGAGAAAGGCAAAAAGGAAGAAAGAAGAGAAAAGAAAGTAGTAAAAATTAAATAGAAAAGAAGTAAAGGAAAAGATGAAAAAGAGACCGAAATAAGAAAAGGAAAATTAAGAGTGAGAAAAAAAAAAGTTAACACGTAAAAGCTTTCACTGTCGTTTATCTCATCCTAATTGATCCTGCCTGAAGAAACAATCTTTTTTTTCAAGCCAAGACTTGTTTTTTTTTTCTTTTTGCAAACTTTAAAATATGATTCTAAATTGAATCATATTTTTCAATTTTAAGCACGCGTCAAAAAATAAACAGAACTTTTATCAGTGATATGGTTCTACTCAATTAGGATTGTAGCAAATGTAATCAATACTAGACAATTAATATTTAAGGAAGGTCCATTATGACGTCCCAGCAACGCATTTTCCAATGTTTCGTCTAGTAGCGGAAAAGATCTATTTTAATCTTATTAGAAAAAGTTTAATTAAAAAAAGGTTAATAACATAAACACCCTATAATCTGATATCCTCAGTCATATTTTTATTTTCTTCTGTTCGTTTACTTTTTACTTAATTTTGTTATGTAATAACTTCTGTTATTAGTATAACGAAGAAAAATGTATATTGACAATTTAGCGTAACTCAGAAACATAATACTTATCCTTATTTATTCAACAACTGGTTTAAAAGGATTAATATAATCATGTGGAACACATATTAATTATGTTCAATACAATAAATTAAGGAAAAAAATAAAAAAGGATAGTTAAAATATTTAAATCAAATCATAATTTACTTAGTGCTAAAAAAACACTTTTTACTTCTTTAATGCCTGGTATTCTTAAAGAAAAAGCAGCCAAGTCTTTTATACAATTTAAATAAAACAAATAATTGAGTAAATCAAATGATTAAAGAAAATATCATAAGAAAAGAAACCGATTAATTCATTGAAGCTATTAGTTTAGTCAGTCTATTACCGCAAAGGGGCGCTGTATGCTTAAGAGCAAAAAGTGTCATCATTCTGCACGCTTCAATAAAAAAGCGTAACTTTTTTCAATTTCATTAGACTGATAGGGTTCATTAGAGTTCCTTAATGATTATGTAAGAGCCGC